AATGGAAAGGTTGCAGGAAATCCCACAAAATGCAAACAACCTCGGCCAGCACCAAAACCCTGATGGGGAAAGCTTTGCATGAGGGGGGGGGGGGGAATGGAATAGAATGGGAGAGGATAGTAGGGTAGAGTGATGTCAGGGTTCAGCACCCTGCCTTAGGGTACCCCGGACTCCCCACCTACTTTATCCCCTTTTATTCTTTGACTGTTGCCTTGTTGTTGCCTTTGTGTGTTGTGTACATGCGCGCACGGGATAGCGCGGGAACTTTCTGAGCGAGCAGCTCGCCCAGAATGTTCCCACGGGTCACAGCCACAGTTCTGGGCGAGCAACTCGCCCAGAACGTTCCCACGCTTGGCACTGCCACCTGGATGTTCCCTCCGGGTCACACTACACAACTCTAAGAGCTGTATAGTTGTGGGCATGTGACCCATTCCTTTATATAGCAACCATGCGGGGAGATGAGACCTTTACCCTTCTTCTCATCTCATGCCCGCATAGGCAAGTGTATATATTCCCTTTCTTTTACTATACATCTCATGCCCGCATAGTGTGAGGACGGGCCAGATGGGGGTTGAGGTCAGGGAGCCTCCAAGTCCGAGGCCGGGCCCTGACAAGTGAGTGAGTGAGTGAGAGTGAGAGAGAGAGTGATAAAAGGGAGGTCATTGACAATGCAATGGATATGGTCATTGGAGACTCTATATCCATAACAAGCGCTGTGCCATTGCTGGTTGTCCTGGGGGTCCCTAATTTTGGATCTAGCAGAGGGGAAGTCTCTTAGGGGGGAATCAAGTCGATTTTGGACTGAGGTTACAAGTTACTAGGCACATTGTATATAAGGGGGGTCCGGAATCAAAAGGAACAAGGGTAGGATGAAAGGAGACAAAGGGAGCCAGAAGGAGGAACAACACCGAGGGTCAAGGGTTTGACTCAATGGTGTTTCCCAATGGAGGAGTGAAGGGCCAAGGCCCAAGGAGGAAGGAAGGAGGATGGGAGTGGGGAATGGCTGACTGACTGAATAGAAAGGAAGCAGCAGCCCAAATAGGAATGAGGGAGAATAGCAGAAATGAATAGGACAATGCAATAGTTGCAAGGTCCGAAGTAAGTCTGGAAAGTCCAAACTCGGAGGTTAAACTCTGGAATATTGGCAAAGGTAAATAAATGGAATCGGCTAACCAATACAATGTGTATAAGCAGAGGTGGGGTCAAAGTCCAAGGTCAGAGCTAAGACTGGAGGTCTGGAGTCAGGAGCATAGGTGTTGCATGCTTGTCTGGAAGGTGTCAAGGTGGAGGTTGGACCCAGAATGTTCTGGAGTCGGACCGAAGGTGGTGTCGGAGCTGGGGGTGGGATAACCTCTTGGGAGTCGGCAAGGAGAAGGTGATGGGAAGGAAGTAGGGCTCTGGAGTCAGTTTCGGAGTTCCAGGAGCTGTCAGGGCACACACCCTGACTAGCCCGGACCCACTACACTTCCCACACATACTTCCCATGCTGCATGCTCCGGCCCTGGGTCCTGCCTTCATGTGACTTCTGGGTATCCCCAGAAGTTTTCCTGATGTGGTGGCCACTGTGGGAAGATGAGAAGTTAGCTTCCTTCTCATCTCCTTACCCACAGTAGGCAAGTGTATATACTTGCCCTTTGTTTTATCCCATCTCCTTACCCACAGTAGGTTGTGCCCTGGATAGGGCTGGTTACACCATAGGGCTGTGGACCATAGGGGAGGGTCATGGGGACCTGGGAGTCATCCCCTGACAGGAGCCTGGAGTGGAGGTCAGGATTGTATGGATATGACAGTATGATACTTTATTGTACTTCAGCTCTAATATCGACTTGATCATGACTCCCCAGGTTCTGACCCCAACAAGGCAACCCCAGTGAGTGTGAAATGAGGGCCAGGAGACAGCTAGGGGGCACAGCGCTCCTTTAGAGTCACTGAGGCTGAATGCCCTACCCTTGGGCCTTGTTCACAGCTTATAGCTGTCGAAATTGTATCCAGTGCGACTACTGGACTTATCCGGAGCTCCAATTCAAATGGCTTCAAAATACAGGTCACATGGCAAGGACATAAAATCATGGACAAGCCTGGTATTGAACCCAGGACCTCTAGTGTGCATCCATACACTACTCACCCTTGAGCCATGCTGGTATAGGCTGTTAAACTCTATACTATTGGGAACATATTATATTCTCCAACAATAGCAGCCCACAATGGTGACCCTCGGTGCCGACCCCGGACCCACCCATCAATTACACATTCCATTAATGTACAAACAAGATCTTACAACAATCTGTCAGCTATAAGAACAGGTCGAGATGGGAGAATTTCTCCCCATCCTCATAACACACTGGCTGCTCCATCATCATATGCCTACAGCATGCACACGGAGTTAAAAATGAAATACCACCACCACCACAATAGTTGCATGGGGTAATGCAGCTTTGAATATACAAGTAATTTATGGTACTGAAGCATGACTGCAGTCACACTTAATGCAAGCTAAGAGAAGGACAGATGATGTGTGGGCACACATCATCATGAATGAGACAGTATAGTTCAAGGATAGGTGTAAGGGATTAACCTTACTTCACTATAATTCCAATTATAGTGATATTTATATTATGTTGCATCGCTATAATTCCCATTATAGTGATGTGGTTATTTCTTTATTTATTTGTGCCGAGATATGTAAATTACATATATATACCTCGGAGTAGTTGTAAAGGCCTGGTAGCCTTTTACCTCATCAGCAAAAGTCCGTTATGCTCCGGAGCATCAAGAGTGGCTGGAGCATGTGGGAGACAAATCAGCAGATTGGGCACTCCTGGAGCCAATAGTGTTCTCCTGGGAGGGGGTTCAGGAGCAGCTGGGAGTGGTGAGGAGTATGTAATGTGCCAGGAACAGTGGGAGGAAAATTTTGGTCTCTAAAAAGTTGAAAAAAAAAATTTAGGGAAAAATCAAAAAAAAAAAATTCAGGAACTATAGTGCCTTTAAAGTGCTTTCAGGACATATAATTATTTGCAAAATTGAGGAAGAAATGATGGAGAAAAATGGAAAATACTTTCGGAGACCCGAGAAATAATGAGAACTGAATTGATGGGAAAGTCTGAAAATTGAATAGGAAAGTGAGGGGAAGCCTTGTAAGCATTGTTATTTTCTGCTGTTCTGATTTTTCCTGATTGTTCTTGGTCTCACTCCCAGCTGCTCCTGGACCCTCCCAGGAGCTTTCAGGAGTCCAGGAGTATTGAGGAGCAGCTGGGAATGAGACCAAGAAGAATCGGGAAAAATCAGAACAGCAGAAAATAACAATGCTACAAGGCTTCCCCTCACTTTCCTATTCAATTTTCAGACTTTCCCATCAATTCAGTTCTTGGGTCTCCAAAAGTATTTTCCATTAGCTGCTCCTGGACCCTCCCAGGAGCTTCCAGGAGTATCCAGGAGTATCCAGTAGCAGCTGGGAGTGAGACCAAGAACAATCAGGAAAAATTAGAACAGCAGAAAATAACAATGCTACAAGGCTTCCCCTCACTTCCCTATTCAATTTTCAGACTTTCCCATCAATTCAGTTCTCATTATTTCTCAGGTCTCCGAAAGTATTTTCCATTTTTCTCCATCATTTCTTCCTTGATTTTGCAAATAATTATATATCCTGAAAGCACTTCAAAGGCACTACAGTTCCTGAATTTTTTTTGATTTTTCCCTAATTATTTTTTTCAATTTTTAGAAGTCCCTATTTTTCAAATTTTCCTCATTTCCCTCTATATCCCCCCCTCATTCCCCCCTCATTCCCCCCTCATTCCCCCTCATTCCCCCCTCATCCCCCCCTCATTCTCCCCTCATTCTCCCCCTCATTTCCCCCTCATTTCCCCCTCATTTCCCCCTCATTTCCCCCCCTCATTCTCCCCCATTTCCCCCTCCCCCATATTCTGCCAGCCCGAAAGTGATTAAGTTGCCAGATTAATCATATATCAGGCCATAAATTTTGATTGTGTATTGGTGAGTCTCAGTGTCCTTGATATATAGTATAGTGTTTGATCTAAATGTTAAGCAGTGTCTTGTTGTGTTAGTCTTGTGGTAGGAGGTATTTATGGGGGATCTTCCCTCTTTTTTTTCCTTTTCATTTTCAAATGCTCCAGGAGCTCCCAGAAGCTTCTCACCCCTATACACTTTGAAGCATTTAAATTGTATTTACTGGATATGTTTGTGCACAAAGCAATGCTCCAGGCCCTCCTGGGAGTGCCCTGGAGTACCTAGCCAACTCCGGAGGAAATGGGCTGTTCCTGGACCAGCCAATCTCCTCCTGATTCTCCCAGTGCTCTCGATACTCCGGAGCACTCAGGAGCATAACAATTTTTTGCTGATGCCTCTACCCTGTTGAATATACAGCACATTAAAGCTTATATTTAGACGGACTACCTGAGGCCTGAGGCGAACGGGGGAACGGAACATACCGTCCCCAAAATAGTAAGCAAACCTTTCAATAGGACAGGGATAGGATGGATAGGAGGTGGCGCTAAAAATAGAAAATGGGTCACAGACAGAGAAGGCTCTGTGACTATCGTGGACTCACTGGCATGAGGGAACTGGGCAATGGTGTATAGGTTTTGGTCATCAGGTTGATCCAAGAAAATGCTGGATAATCTCTTCACAAGCAATAGTAGTGCTCGCAGGGTAACCCAGTTTCACACCGGTTCAATATCCTCACTCAGGGAAAGGAGTGCACCTGCGGACTGGAGACACAAACAAGAGAACATCTATTACAGGTATGCCCGAAGTACAAAAAGTATAGATATATACTGGGTTGCAGCTCCCAATCCAGGTTCAGCACCTGCGAAAACGGAGAGCCATACCAAGTTTCTAAAGAGGTCCCGCGCACCAACCCCACCACGCGCCGAGGACAGTGAATAGCCGAGGAGCGGAGTGGAATATGAAGGACGCAACCGGAGCAGCAGAAGAAACAACCCCACTTACCCCCTGACACCTGAGCCAACTCCACCCAACCAGAGGGTTTCGCACACCCGACTACACCAACCAGAAACTCCTTCATGTAATGACAACCCCCTCATTACACACTTGGTACACACAATAATAGTACTTGTTCGTCTTCAAGTGCATCGAAAATTTCGAAAGGGATGGCAACCTTCGGGCATCTGCGGCGATACGGGCTTCTTCTCCTTGATGGCTTTCTTGAGGGCACCAACAGACTTTGTATTCGAAATTTCCACCGGGAACACTCGGTTAGCATCATCGCCAAGTACCCAATAATTGAGATTAAGCGTGTGAGACATAGGTTGTTGGCAAGTCTGCTTAAGAAAGGAACTGTGTCTACTCGGACGTAAAGGAGCACCGAGAATATGGGAGCGGCTGGAGCAAAAATGCGAACGGGCCCCGTGACCTCCCTGGATGTTGTCGCGTCAGAATCAGGCAGTGCAGGCAATGCAAAATACCAAACTTGCGTCAGTGTCGTCAAACTCCGTTTCAACAGGTAGGTGTAGGCGCTCGGCACTTTGCGGATTTTGGGACCAGGTCCTGGTTCTAAAAAATCACCAAGACCGAACCAAATCGGACCACGGCGGCCAGAGTTTAAACTGAAACGGCACAATCGATGCCAAATTAAAATTGGCCAAGTTGTTCGAAAAGGAGAAACAAGAAAAAGGCAACTATACATACTGGAGCAGATAGTCGTGATCTCCACAGAGACCCACTGACCAGGACTTGTGCTTGTGCCACGGATAATGCACACCTTTGAACTTCCTTGGGGCAATCGCCGTATGATATCAATCCCGGTGGAGGTTGTCTCATCAAGCGAGTTTTGTTGCCATCAAGCGCACATCAAGTGGGAGTCGCATGCGCTTGACTCTGGCGAAAGTGGGGGGAATACATGCAATTCAGGGATGTGAGCGATCATCAGGACAATTAACAATTAAAGATGCAACGAGGAGTGCGACCAAATAAAGCCACAAGAACGTGGAGAAATGAAATCGCACGCAGTTGATGGAGCGATAGCCGTGCACGGAGAAAGCCGAGTTGAAAATTGTACCAAACTCCGAGTGGCGGACATATCGGGCGGAGGTAAAGTGGATTATAACTGACGAGAGAGTTACTTTAGGTACATCGAGCTAGTTTGCTTCACTGGAATCTTGAGCTGGACAAAGTTATGCAAGAGAAGAAAACGAAACGAAACGAAACGAAACGAAACAAACAACAAACAAACAAACATTCGTTAGCTAACTGCCGATTTTTATGAACATGGAAATATTCTGGGTTGCGCTGAAAGAAGAATGCAAAGAAAACAGGGAATGTAAGAGTGAAAGTGAAGTAAAGCGAGAAAAAAAAACCAAGCTTGAAGCTGAAAGCGATGAAAATCGAAAAGGAATCAAAGAGAAGAAAGGAGGCGACAGTATATCTGGGATACCTTACAACAAACGCCGATCTACTGACCAATCAGAACACTAGGACAGGTAATACACAATATGTCCTCCGGGCGCGCTAAACTCGATTAACTTTAACTCAACGTCTCCAGGGTGAACGTCATATCCGAAACAACCGAATCGGATCTAACAACCTTCATCATCGTGGGCGGACTCGAAGGGGGTGACAAGATGGACGAAATAAGCGTCACGTAAGCTTCTTCACCTTCGTCCGAGCCAGATGTCGACTCCGACAAAAGAGACTGTTTGTCCTTCTCGAGGATAGAGTCCGTGTCTGCGTCCTCATCCTGGACGTCCTCTGGGCTCGTCGGTGAACCCTCGAAAGGCAATGAAGAGTAAGGAGACAAAGCACCATCCTGGGTGATCGCACCTATGGCGATGCCCAACCCATCGGACTGATGGGCACCCACCAATCGAATCTCCACTCCTTCGAACGCATCCACGTCATCATCCTCGGACCCCTCCGCAAAAACGTTAACGATATCCACAGGCTCGTAGACACTTTCCCTAACACTCCTCTTCACATCTTCCTCTTCAGCGAGAGCAACAGCCAACGCTAACGAAGCTCTCTTCGACGGTGACGTCAGAGTCGCCACTGTGGAAAAGCCAGAATAAGAAGAAAGAGGAGTTTTCAGAACAGGAGTTCGAGGGGTTGAAGGTGAGGTGGATGTAGGAGTGGAAGTGGAAGAAGGGAAAGGCGGAGGGAAGAGCGAGAATGAGGGGCGAGTTGTTGGAGTCGTAGGCGATTGAGAATGAGAGGGGATGAGGCCTTGGGGGGATGGTAATGGGGAAAGGGAAGGAGAGGATGAAGTTGAGTTGGAATGGGGACTATTTTCTGATGTTGGAGAAGATGGAGATGTGTGGACTGAAATCGGAGGTGGAGGAGCGGCCCGACGAGGCGGACGCAGAGTTGCAGAAGGTAAGGATAAGGGTGAAGACGAAGGTGGTATCGCCACCGCACCCTGCCTCGGCGTCGCGTCGTCTTGAATCGCCATCACCTTGTACTCCTCCATCTCTTCCCTCTGATATTCCTGAACTGTATCCTGCGTCTCGTCCCCGGCTCCACCCAAATCCGGACTCAAATTCACACGCTTCGTCAACGCCCAACTAGCCCTCACGTCTTCATATCTCTTCAGCATCTTCTCAACCTCATTCCTGAAGAACGTCGCATCGTCCAACGCATCGCTTTCGCTTCCTCTCCTTATCATCAATTCCGCATCACCATCATTGAACGCAGTTTCAATAGCAAACGATTCCACTTGAGACGGAGGAGTCCTGCAAGCTATGCCATCATCCTGAGACGAAGCAGACGAACTTGCCGAAATCCACTCTCCTTTCTCTCCAGGGTCCGAATCAGAGGATGATGTTGAAGATCCAGATTTAGGTCGCATCGTCCTCTGGTCGAAATCCATAGGGACCCCCAAGTCCAGAAACGAGACATATTCCTTCGGAACGACAGGCTCTCTTCTTGACCTCCGCCGATTGTCCTTCCGAGGGTTGTTCCGGGATCGATTTCGAAGTGAAGGCGGAGGCAAAGTAGTGGGGTTTTTGGGGGAGTAAGTAGGAGTAGGAACGGAGAAGGAACGTTTTTCCGATGATGAAATAACGAGAGAAGATCGTTTCTGATTGTCATTCACGTTGGGATGGCTACGAGAACTAGTGGAGACATTTGGTGAGGTAGTTAACGTGAGTGAGGTATTGGGTGTTGATGCAGGCGTGACGGTAGAAGTAGAAGACGAAGTTGAATGAGAGTGCGTCGAACGAGAGGAAGAAGAAATGGAGACTCGAGCTGGGGTGGAATAACTAAATGGATGTGCCGCCTTTTGGCGACCAAAACCTTTTCCTCCGAATCCTAACCCAGCTTTGGGGTTGTCGCTTGTGCGGGATGACGGCCCAGATGTGGTGCGTGTGAAGGTGGTGGTGGTGGTGGTGGTGGTAGAACTACCCAAGTTGTTAGAAGGGGTGCTCATGATGGGCGGGGTGGTAGCGCCGAAGGAAGCGCCGGAGCATGCACTAAATTCTGAGGAATTAGCGTGACTGTCAGATGAAGATGAAGCCGAGGATGAGGTAGAGAGGGTAGAATGAAATGAACGTGGTCTTTGCTTAGAAAGGGGGACGGTAGACGAGGAAGAGCCAGTTCTGGATCCGATGGTTGCTCCGCCGTTTTCGGTCCCATTGAGACAGGAGTTTAAATTGCCAAAATCGTGATCGTCAAAACGCAAATCTCTTAAGAAAGGAGTTTCGATGAGGTCTCCAACCTCACGACACACACTCGGACTCGTACGACGGATTTCGATGATCGGGGTTGGGGCCGAATGTGAGAAGGATGATTCAGCGGTATCACTGGGACCCGATGTTACCCCGCTCGTCACCATCGGTGTGACCGGCGTTGTGTTCCCATTCACCGTTGGAGAGGGGATAGGCAGCGAGCAAGTGGACGAAGAGGTCAGTTGAGAACGAGAGGTGGTCGAATCGCGGCGAGCTGGGAACTCTGAGGTCTCCGAGATGACGCTAAGGGGTCTTGGGGATGAACGACCAGCGAATATTGTGCCGATTGAGCGGACGCGGGTGAGTGCTCGGTATGCTGATGAGGGGAAGAAGTCGGAGTTGTAATGTTGTTCGATGATGGTACGGAGAGGAAAGACATCGTTCCTTGTTAGCTGGTTGCGCGAAGGGGATGATACCAAAAACCCTGTAGTCAAAGTTTATGGGGGAAACACGGAGGAAAAAATTGCAGGATGGGTTAAAAAGGTGGTTTTAGAAGCGGGCAGGGTTGTGGAGATCTCACTCGGGATGAACGGTATAGGGAGAATGGCAAATCGGGTATTTAGACCTAGTTGCAGGGATAAGTGCGAGGCAGGCAGCGGGTGGATCAGGGGGACAAGGAATAGTTGGAGAACGTGTGTGACCTTGAGGGATTTGACGGAAGCCGTGGAAAACGATTCAAGTGGAAGCTTGTTGTGTGTGTGTATATTTGTTATTCTTACCGCCGCGGGTCTTGGCCTCAGCGACGGGCGATAGTTCGGGATAAAAAGTGGGAGACCACGTATGGGTACAACCTGGACAAGTTGGAGATGAGATGAAACAAGGCCCGGAGGTAGAAAGGTGGGTAGCGCCCACCGAGAGCGGTTCTGACTCGCGGCTATCAATCTCCACGGTTTTGCTAAATTGTATAGGTATAAAGAGTTCCCACTGCGGGGGCTGACGCAGTCGCAAGGCTATGTTGATGCAAGCCAGCATGCATAGATGAAATAAAGAATGGTGAGTTCGGACAGGATGTAGTCGGAGAATACATAAACTAACAGTTGAAAACAAAAGTGGGTTGCAAGCTCCGGGACTGTAGAGTAATACTCAGTTTGTGATAAACAAGGAAGAGTCAGCGAGTGTGTCGAGCTGGAAGGGAGAGGGAGCGAGGGAGGGAGAACGAGAGAAGACGGCGCCTTTTTAGCTGAGTTTTGATGATTTATTGGTTGTTGCCCCATTGAACAAGTGTTCAAAGATGTGAGACTCTTTCTTCTCTTTGGAGTGCGGGTCATTTTGATCACCAAAATAGCGAAACATAAAAAAAAAAAAAAGGAAAATAGTAAATGCGAAAACAATAACTCCATGAGGAAGCACATTCAGTCTAAACAAAGCCTTCATTCTTCCACTTCCAGATATATTCCCACGCTCACTACATATGAGTTGTCATCTCCGGAAGAGAGGAATATGTAAATCGAACCCAGAGAGGCAATAGCTCCGCCTTTATCTCCGATCTATGTTTGTTCAATTTAGTGCCTCCCCAGATTCCAACCCAATTATATTCAAATGACCATATCATCGTCACTAACCAGAGCGTTTGTCCCTTTTCAAGCCGCAGCGCCCAACAACTCCTGCAACCCGCTCACTCTCCCGCACATCAAACGATGGCGCCCATCTTACAACAACCGGCTGTACCTTCATCCAACCCTCCCACCACCACCACTGCTACTACCACCCCAACAACCCCCGACCAACCCTTCGTCAAACAAGGTGACACACTCGACGTATTCCTCCCTTCTTTCTGGAATCGTCAAGTAGCCATAGCGGAGGGTGAATCCCCTGATTTCAAGCACCCTCCATTGCCTTTGGCCCGCATCAAAAAAGTAATGAAGTCTGACCCTGACGTCAAGGTGCAATTGCCGTGTTCTTTCTTGTCTCTTCCACTATGAGCCCCGGTCACCCATTTGGGTCAAACGACCTATCTCACTTGAGCGCTCCGTCATGTCTATCATTGCTGGGTTTCTGATCTTCTCTATATCTCACTTCCGATTAGATGATCTCAGCCGATGGTGAGATGTCAACACACTTTCTCCAATTAACCGTAATTCTCACTATGGGGTTCTGTTCGGTTGCCGTTTACGCTCTATCGACCAATTTAACGATCGTTCTTGGTCTCTGGTGACCAACTCACCCTTCAACCCATAATCGGATTCTGTCGAAAATCGCCCCAACTCATCCTCAGGTATGCCCGTTTTCCCCCTTTCGCCGGCATTCCTCAGTGCTAACGAAACCCGAAATAACCGTCAACCGCTCATTCCACATTCATCTTATCCCTCAATGTCGTGGTCTTCTCGTGCCACGCATGTGCTCTATTACTAATCGTTTACACGATCGCCACACTCCGGTCCTAACCTCTCTTCCAAACTCGCACTTACAATGACACATCGACACATCCTGTGGCTTTGCTCTCGCCGGATCACCATCATGGCATCCGTGAAATTACACTGGTTCACTGTGATAATCAAACATGCTCCGGATGCACTGCCCTTATCCCTCTCATCCTTTTACTTACGTTCTCATCCACTTCTCATCTGCCGATCCAACACTAACCCCTGCTACTTGGCTCCGAAAAGCGCCCATACTCTTTGCCAAGGCTTGCGAAAGTAAGTGCTGATTGATACCGAGGGAATTCTACATGCATCTTGCCCCTATTTCCTTTTCTCCTTTCTGGTGCACTTTCCCCACCTTCTCATTCTTCGGGCTTGCCAAGTTTGTGACAGGCTCAGCTGGCAGTTCTCCCAGCCTTCTGCGCTTCTCTTCTCCTCCCCGCACTTTACCGGACCATCTAATAACGCGCCTTATACACAATCCTTGGAATCAGAAGCACTTACAGCATTCACGCCCCAGTTCCACTTTGATGTTCTTTCCCTCCCACATCCTCTATCCTTTTACGACGTGGGATGTGGTGACTCCCATTCATTCCCGTCGGCTCCATTAGTTGGCACACCGTGGGATTCCAATCCCGAGATCTTGGCTGTCCAATGGGGATTATTTTTTCCCTCCACGGATTCAGTTCGATTCACTTTGACTCGATGACACTGCCGAAGGCTCTTCTTATCTTCTCTGGCCGACCAACACAACCCAAATCACCGCACCCATCCTATTTCGGGGGTCGCCCTCCCGGCTTGCCGTAATGTTTCACTCTCCTTTGTCCTCCGTCCATCCTTTTCACTCTTGCATTAGCCTTTAGCGCGCGATCTTCCAACCAAGACAGAACCTTCCAACAATTTTCATCTGGATTCTTGCATTCCACTTTTTTGATGTTGCGCAGGGACGGGGCACGAAAAAAAAAAAAACTCTAAAATTCGAATTCAAACATGCCGAAACATACATACTTGAGTTTGTAAATCCGTGTATGGGTTTTCGGTTTTGTATATTCGAGTCTAATGTCTTGCGTTTGATCATTGGGCACGAGCGTTGTCTGAGATATTTTGTTTTCGTGCCCCTCCCATTCATTTTCCTTCCTTTCGTTCCACTTCCAATTGTCTCTGTGTTCCATTCCCTTTCATCCCCGATCCCACTCGCTTAGCGACACCCATCCACGCACACGACAACATCTGCCAGAGAGATTGCAGATCGAGTCATTTGCTCTGCAACTAACTATATGGCTATTTCATTTTCTTTGTTCGTTTTTGGGGGCGTGTTTCAATTTTTCCACTTAGTTGCAGCCTTATTTAGGGTTGGGGCGTTCCGAGTTGGCAGTGTTTTTTATTCCACTTTTGAACTCCATTACTCATCGAGTATAATTGATGACTATGGTGCCTTGTCCGAGATGCCTTCCTTTCTTGTGTATTCACTTGTCTCGTGTCTTGAAATGGGCGGCGTCGGGGACTTGGGTTATATTGGCTTCTCCCTTTTTCTGTTTTCAGTGCCCTCAATTATTTCACCTTCCCTCCCTTCGGTCCCTTCTCACTTCATTGACATGCTGAAACGCATACTGACAACGCCTCTCTCATTCCTTTATAGTATTCATTCAAGAACTAACTTGCCGGACGTACCTCATTGCCGAATCCTCCAAGCGTCGAACCCTCTCGAGAACAGACATAGCTCGCGCGATTTCGAAATCGGATCAATATGATTTCTTACTTGATATCATTCCGAGGGAACCCGATGCCAATAATCCCAATTCGGCCCCAGGAAGTGGGGTGAAAGAAGGGGAGAGTGGCGGTGGTGGTGGTGGTGGTAGTAGAAAAGGGAAAGAGAGAGACAGGAGGGCTGCGGCGATGATCGCTGCTCCCACTGGCACTTCTTCCGCTTTAAGTTTAACCTCGAACTCTTTGTTACCTCCTGGTGACGATAATATTGTTTCCTTTCCTGGTCGGGAGTTGGGCCGGTTCAGCGACCGAGGGCCCAGGTTGCTGCTACTCCGACGACAATCCATGGACATGCTTTACATTCGGGTCATGATCTCCATCTCCATCATCCACACCGTCCAGGTCCCATTCAGATCCCTATAACGACTGCACCTGCACCTTCCTCATCCGGTGCAGGGGTTATATACGGGCAATCACCTCAGTCTACAATTCAGGCGTCAACGCCACTGTCGTCTTCTTCATCTTCGCAACTAGCCTCCCCACCATCTGCTATTCCCACATCCCCTTATTTCGCTAGGATGCAGGTGCAGCCTCCTACTGCTGCGGCAGGCGGTACGGGTGTAGGCACCGGTGGAGGCATCGTTGCTTCGGCGGCGGCGGCAGCGGCGAACACAGTAGGTATCAATCCAATGACCGGAGCTGGCGGGTCGATGAATCTCGTTGGTATGAGCCCTACGGGTAACTCTAACTTCCCTAGATCTACGTCGGGTATTGTTATACTCGGTCAAGGGTCCGGACAAAATATGACCGCAAGATCGACTCCTTCCCCAAACAATAGTGCAGAAGGCGGGAGTCCTCATATTACCGTTCAATCTCGACATGCCTCATTTTCTCTTCCTCTTCATGCGCATGTGCATTCTCAACAGCAGCATGGGCAGGGTGGAGGACAGCAACAGATGTCTCCGGCTGTCGCGGCCTTCGGATCTGCGGGTCCTACATCTCCTACCATGAGTAATGGTGGCAGCGTACAGCTCCACCCTCGTAGAACATCGTCTCCGCCTCAACATTCTCAGGTTCAGGCTCAGAATCAAGCGCAAGGGCCTAGCCCTCGAACGAATTTACCGAGACGGCTAACATATCCTGCTCTTGCTCCCCCACCTTCTCCCTTGTCCCAATCGTCGTCATCGCAATCTATGCTGGCACCGTCGCAAATGGCAACTCAGGGACATGGACACGGACACGGACACGGACACGCGTACCCACAGGTCCCGTACGGACCACATGGCGGGCAGATCCGTCCCCATACATTCCCTGTGCCACCTCCCCCCTCGAGCATGATGAGTCCTCCCCAAACACCCCTTTCTCACCACTCTCCTCATAGTGTCCCTTCGCATGTTCAAAGAGCAAGAGGACAGTCGGTGAGTGGTTCCAGCCCCGCTGCAGGCCCGGCTTCGGGATCAGGTGCCGCTCGTGGTGGCGGAATCAGGCCTCGGACATCAGCCGAGGCGGACGAATCAAATGTGTTCTTTCATCAAGTGGGTCTTCTATGAATACCTTTTTCTTCAATTCGTCTCCGTGCAATTGAAAAATAACGTCCGTCCGATTTTGGGAACAGATTCAAACTTATATTCATGGTCCGCCTCCACCCCTAGGTCGCCCACATCCAACGCCTCCCTCAGCCCAGCAACCTCCACAGCCCCCGCAAAGATAGATCCGAGTTACTATGCCCCATGTTAGGCTGTCCGCATCATGGCATCGTGACATACTGTTACCGGCAATTGTATTTGTACTGTTACTGGTACGTGAAATTTTGTACATGTTGCGTCCTCTTGCGTGGTTTATATGTGATGTGAACACATCTGGAACCGACGTTATGATGCTTCTGCATGGTTAGGGGATGAACATTTGACAATCATACCCATTTTGAGCCATCCCAGCAATATCATCGAGCTAGATCGATCGTGAGTTAATATACCAAGGCTTATAAAATCGTCCCGCATGGATGCTCTTATAATGTAGGGATTCCATATAAGGCAATCCGTTACTTCAGCGGCTACACTCTGGGGGTGGGCAAGCGAAGCTTGCCCACGGGACTGCTTATGTAAGCTAGACTGGCCGCAGAGCAGCCTGTGGAAGTATAGTTTTATAACTCATCACAAATGTCTCATGCAACAAAAAGTTGAATCAAAAGTTACTTGGAATTGTAAAAGCTGATAATTGGACTGAGGAATTGTAAAAAAAATGAGTTCTCATGGCTCTACAACCGTTCTCGACAACCAGCGCGTTTTATAAAAATCCAACAGTCCGAATTATAGAAAAAGACCCTCTACACATCCAGGAGAATTTCTACATGCTTAGCTGCTGTGTGACGAGCCTGAAATTGTTGGGTGATCATTTGTTTATTCGTGTGTACGTCGTCACTCAATAGCGCATTCTGGAGATGCCTGGGGCACACTCAGCTCAATTGATGCTCTTCTGACTTTAGAACAACTTCCTACCATGCTCCTTATACCCTTTTACATTTTCAGCGATTGGTATTAGTATTACGGAAAATTCGTTGCATACAAAACAATCAAAATCAACTGCCCATTTAATTCATTGGCGATGTATAGCTGTAACAACACTGAGGGCTTCATAAGGGAAAATTTCAGTGAAGCCCATCATCCATTCCTCAGGAAGGAAGCTCGGCATCAAGAACACACAGAATCTTGAGAGGAAACTATGGACAAAGTTGAGGCAGCAAAAGCCGCTGCCAGCCGTGAAGCCCAGAAGGCACGAGATGAGAAGAAGAGAGTGGAGGAGGAGAAACTAGAGTGTACTATACTCCAGTTGGGTGCTACAGTGATTGCTGCAATGACGGGGGAAAAGCTAATTGAACAGATCAACAAACTCGTTGGCTGGCCCCTAAGGACACCTTTATTCCTAATTGAACAGCAGTCAATAAGGTACGAGTTGGGCCCCGGAAGGCACTACCCCAAGATATTGTAAAACGCTATAATGCACGATCTGTAGAGTCGCCAGGATCTGCTATCTGAGGTACCATAACTGGTCTGTTTACATGCTCATTTTATAATGCGTGGATTTTTCTGATTGAGCGCTCAGTACATACTTTACATTGTATATTCACACTCTCTAGGTTTTTGTTGGGACTTGGAATACAGTTTCACGAGTTATCGATGGAACATTTGCGAGGCCATGTTTTGCCCAAATCTGATTACATAAGCGGTACACGGACACAACCTGAGTTGCCCAGTCCCATACACTCGCGAGACCAGATGTGAGCCACGTGACACCATCTCGAAAAAGAGGGGGTAAACGTTTAGCGAGATCACAAAAATCCACACCCAAGCCTCCCCACCCCAAGGCACCCCCCATACTCCCCCCACTGATCTCCTACGATCACTTGATGTCCAACCCAGGAGGCAAAACCGGTCGTCAGAAACCGGCAAACCAGGTCAGCACCCGGCTTCAGGCTAACATAAGGTCGACCTACGACACGAACTCGGGCACACCGCGGCAGCCACACCAGAAAGCCGCATGCGGGAATAAACCGTCCACTATCAGGGGCCAGACCGGCACTCCTCCCACGGAGGAACACGACCCCTGGAAAGAAGCAATGGATCACGCAACCCGAACATGGAGCGAGGACCACCTGGAAGCCCAATCACCAAACGAGGCCCTGAACATAACTAGCATCCCATCATTCAGGCCCCCCTCTCCCGATGAGGTAGTGCACCACAAAACCACGAAGGTCATGACAATCTCAACGCCCCTGCACCCGCACATCGAGGGCCAACAGTCCGAGGTAGAGGAAATGGAAGAGGAAGAACCACAGAAAGATGAACCTGAAAACGATGAAAACTGGAATGGCTTAGAAGAAGCCAGCTGGTACATCGCCGAAATCACGAACCTAATGGCCAGCATAGCGAACAAAGAATTATGGCAGGACTTTCTCCCGATGTACACGCACTGGAACCTTAGCCTACCCAGATCGGAATTCATGCCCTCGGGGGATGCGATCATGGTAGGAAAAGGAACAGAGGAACACCTAGTGGAGGCTGAAGCTAACATCACCAATCTATTCTCGTCGAACGCATATCTAACTGATAGAATAAGGACTTTAGAAAAAGAGCTACTCTCCTATAAAGTGTCAAACATGACCAGTAGGGACCCAGAGACCGTGGCAGCACCCATGGCATCTCCACAGAAGACATTGGCCAACGTGGTGAAAACCCCTCGAAACCAATGCAGAGTCGAGCAACTAGTCAACCGGACAAAGGAATCAGAACCCAACACCCAGACATGCCTGGCGAAATGGACCACAGCTCCACAGCAAACCCCCACAGCCTGATCATCCGTGTCAACCCCCCGGTTCCACATGACCAATGACCGAACGGCATCGAAACCCGGAAGAAGATCAATGACATGCTGGAATGGAAGAACCTTCCACATTACCTCAGGGTAATGGTGTTAGGATATTCCATGGCTGGCAACATTAAAATTACCACAGCACCAACCTGCAAAGCCTCCATATGGCCAGGAGATAGCAGCCCTGATCATGTCAAATGAAGTCCTATCTGTACTCACCAACATGGAGCACTACGGCATCAAAATTAACAAAATCGCCACCCACTGTGGGAACAATGAACCAATGATGCTAAGCATGATCCAGAGCAAATTATGCATGTACATACATCCCCCCATACAATGACATGAGAGTATGGTGCTTGCCAAAATGGCTGGGATCAGAAGATACTATACATGCTAAGAACTTCACTCCTATTGTCATTGACCTCGCTAACAAAGCAGACAGAGAGGCTATGCTTAGCCTGAAATCAGTATATTTGTTTAACTACAGATGCACAATCACACCATATGAGGACTGGCCCCAAATCTATGCATGCAGTAAATGCGGAATGCTGTTGCACTGCACAGAACCTGTCACCAACCCAGATGCCTCAAATGCGGTGTGAAAGACCACACCACAAATGACCATCCAGAGAACACATGTCTGAAATGCATGAACTGCAAAGAGCAACATGCAAGCTGTTAGAGACCAGAAGCAAGACGAAGGAGTTGTCTCCATGGTGGAGGGCTTCAGCCTCAGCAACTCAGACCAGGAGCATTGTGCCTAGTTACACATCCATGCCCTAATTTACTTACTGGCAATGAGAACTAAAAAAGGGGGATCAACTCTAGTCGATTTTATCACTTGGGTGTAACCTATCTACAAGTTAAGTATATATAGTTACAGCGAGGTGGGCCCGTGAATGGTGGGACCAAGCGGAGCAGAGCTAATGGAGTTAAACATTAGCTGACTGAATATTACCGACGAGTCGGGTTATGGGGTTAGCAGAATGGCAGGCGATAACCCAGAAACGGAAAGGAGGGATAGGCCCGAAGGTAGACTTGCAGGGCAAGCAAATGAACTGTCCAGTGGGGGCAGGAGTGTGCTAGTGGATGTCAGAGCTGTCCAGAAGCCTTTGGAGCTCCATACTTAGGGAGGCATGACGAGGTCGGAGGTGTGATCAAGTTTGCTGGCAAGGAGCCATTGTGTCTCCTCATCGGTCCCTTCATAGCCTAGCCACTTGACCAGGTAGAGCAACTTGTTGCATCTACATCGGTTGATCTTGGAGTCGAGTATCTCTTCGATCTTGAACTCCATTTTGCCTTTGATTTCTATTGAAGGCAGAGGTGGCTGGTGGTGGTTCAGAATGACGTTTGGGATGGAGGGTTTGATCTGCAAGACATGGAATACCAGGTGAATGGCTTGCATATTTTCCGGCAGGCAGAGAGTGAGGGAGTGTCATGAATGTCTTTCCTTAGAGGATAGGTCAATCACTATCCAGGCGACACTGTCAGGTGGAGCTTGGTGTTCTGGGTCATCTGATGGTGGGTCGGAGACAGACTGGAGGTGGGGCAGAGCTCCAAGGGTGACAGGGTATTGAAGGGACTCGGCTTCAGTGACTTGGAATGGAGTGGTGCACCTGGTATGTTCTCATTGTCCCCATTTGTCAGGGGAGCTGGCGACAGAGGAACTGAGGCCACCAGCAGAAGGGGGCCTCTGGCCCCCCCCTCACTACTTAACAGAGGAGGCGTTAGCGAGGGTCAATCGTTCATCACGCGATTCATTGGGTGTTATACCAAGGTGTCTCTGGGAGCGCCTGTTACTCAGTTCTTAGGAGCTGTCACGGCCATGCATTCCGGCCCGTTAGCCGCCCGTCCCGATGCCGCCCGAGCCCGTTCCCGCTATGCGAGCGTGAGCCCCGACCTCAGCCCTATTCTCCATGAGGACTCCCTGCTCACTCCCCCACTTGCCCCGACTCCCCTGCTGCTGCACCAACCTTCCCACCCTGAGTCTGCCTCCGGCACCGTGCCCAGCGCGACTCCCCTACCCCACCCACTTGGCCCCTACAGGGCCGCTACCATTCCCATGCCCGACCCCGGCCCAACTCCGAGTCTGGCGCCGCTACGATACCATCGTGGCCATCGCAGCCCTTAGCGGTCCGCATCGGCGACCTTCGGTGCCCGACCCCGGATCAGTATCTAACAGTATATTAGAGCTCTCTCCCTAGGTTGTCTCAACATTGTTCCTGGTTTTGACTCCGATCTCAGTTTTCCCGCGATACCGTGCCACGTCGCCGATCACGGATCTTTCCCACGGCTGATAATCGCGCGAAAACCACTCCCACTGAAGCTGGATTGCTCTCAGTAGGGATCCTTGGGTCACTGATGCTAGTGTAGCTCAAACCCACGTTCTCTGACCCTCTGGGGCCTTGGATAGGTACTCAGATGGGGTTTTTAGGTCGCTGAACACCATATTCACTGGATGCGCGACACTTCAGTTCCAACCCGACTCTGGCTACACCACTCTTGCTTCAGATTGTACCCCAATCAGCGAGCCTGAGTTGTAGCTCCTTCCTGTCCTTTCTGACCCTTCATCCAGTCTCATTGCGACCCCCATCAGTCTTATCTGATCTTGATCAGATTTCGGAAAACCTGACTTCTACCAATCCCGATCTCCAATACGACCCCTCTGACGCTGCTAGCAAGCCGCTGGCACCCCGAGCCCTTGTGGGCATCTCTTCCAAAGTCCTGGAAGCAGTCCAGATAGGCACCCATCATTCATTTCGACTCCAACACCCAATTCTCTGGCAAGCGCGCAACTGATCTCAAGATCGCCGCCGCTTTGCACCCCGATACCCCTTCCAAAGTCCTGGAAGTAGGTTGATTTAGGCACCTCCACTCATTCACCCGCGATACCGTTAACCTTCGGTTATCAATCCCGCATTCCAAGCCGCTGGGTATTCACCTGGATCTCTAACTGTTGATCGCTGGAGACGCTTAGTGCGCCGCTGGTCACATCATGGTTGGATTTCCTTATGGGTTTTCCCTGCTGGCATCCAGCTCTCCTCAGTCCGCTGATGGTTGAGTTCGCCGTCACCCCCGCATATGGCTAGACGCCGCTATTCTGTTAGGCCCGAGTGGTTAGGAGTATGGCGAAAGTCTCGGTGAGACAGTACCCACACCCCTACCCTCAGCCGTTATCTTGTACCCTAGGATGCATCTGTAGATGCTTGTGAAACCCGTTAGGTCGATAGACACCGACCATCCCCGCATTCCCGCAATCCCGTTAATCTGCGGCGAGTCCAGGCCTAGATGACCAAGACTGCCAAAGATCGCCGTTACACCCCCGCTGTTGTTGAAGCTTGCCGCTTCACAACCTCTTGTTAGTCTGCGGTTAACCCAGCCTAGACGGCTTGGGACTGCCAAGGACCTCTGTCACATTCTTGACCCGTTGTTGAAGCTCGCTGCTTCACAACCCCGCGTTAGTTTGCAGCCTTTCTAGCCTTAACGGCTTTGAATCGCCTAAGACTCTTGTTAGTGCACCTTTGGCTTGAGCAACCAAGGCCGCACCTCCGGAAATCAAACCGGGTGTCTCTTCTGAGACAAAACAAATAGTCTGCTCCATTTCCGTTTTCGTTTTTCTGTTTCCTTTTTTGGTTTGACTACGGTCGATTTCCCGTTCAAGGGGACATGCCCCGGCTCCAGTTTGTTTTCCATTTCTGGGACTTCTGTCTCCCGTCCAATCCTTGTTTTCCTGTCCCTAAGATTTTCAAAATAAAAATATGACTTCTCCGATAAGTTGTTAAACTTCGCCGATACTTCATTCACCGGCATTTCGCCGATATTTTCGCCGATTTTGGCTTTCCATCTCCGTTTCTCTTCAATGGTCTACTTCCATTTTGAAACATGTTGCTCGTTTTCAATGTCTCTCTTTTTTCTGTTTCCGTTTCTGTTCTTCTGGGACATTTGTTTCCTTTTTGGGAACGCCGTCCACTCCGTCTGAGGACTCTGTCCTCTTGCCGATTTTTCGGCCACCGTCTCCTCGCTTTTGAGGATTTTGTCACCCCCCGATGATCTGGCTCATCGCCGATTATCACTTCGACTGTTGTAGAGGTACTACCGGCACACCGGTATCCAGGCCTGCAACAATTATCAAACCCGCTACGCTACCGGTGCAATCAATTTGGACATTTCAATGTCACCTCGCTATATGGACCTTACCCTACCGTTTCTGGGACACCAACTACACTCACCCACCTCGCTCCGTTGAGCGACCGGGATTTTGAGCAAGTAAATTAGTCTGAACGTCCGAGTATTCCAGTTTAGTACCCCGCACACCCCTGGCCGCCTTTGGGCAGTACTCCCATTGGTTGGCATTCAAGCCGATTCGCCGTGTATGCACTTTGACCACCAGGCATTCCATTAGTAATGCTAGGTATACCATCCCGGGATAGCGCGCCTTTGTGCCGCTTCCACCCTTAGTTTTCCCCGTCACCTTTGGCCATCACACCGCTGGTTGACTACCCACCTTCGCCTATTTCGCCGATGCTTTGTCATCATTTTGTTGGATGGGCCGCAATCCCACTTGTCTTATGACAAGGTTGTTCTCCCTGAGGCTCCATTGAGCAATGGTTCTTGGACATACCGCGTCTAGATAATGGCGCACCCAGTCCAACCCCAAACACTCCACTCCGACTCTACTCCGCTTTGCCGGA